TTTTCCGGCGAGTTTTCCGGTAACTTTTCCGGCAACTCTCTTTTTATCTAAATTTCATTCTCTACGCATTATTTTCGTTTAATTTTGCTATAGGAAAATAGGTACCTAGCTTAGGGCTTATTATTTCGATTTGTGATTTGATTGGAATGATGTGTTTAGAATCGTTTTTAGACTTTGTCTTATTTTCATTGCTTGTTTACGTGTGTTAGGATTCGATACGTGCTTATCTAGTATAGAGGTCCCGACTTTCTCGAAGCGGGATGATCTAGTGTAGAAGGCTCGTGTTCGGATACCTAGGATCACTAGACTCGCATGTTTTCTTTTTGTTGTTTTTATTTTCGTCAAGTGTGGAGACTCCGTGCAACCAAAGTTCGACATTTCTTTCGATTCTTGCTTTTTCATTAATTGCTTTTAAATTATTAGAATAATTCAGTGTAATCAACCCACAATCAAGCGAGTAGAATGTTTAGGATCTTATTTTCGGTTGTGTGAATTGACGACTAGATAGTGAACGAAGCTCCGAAGAGCCTTCCTTTGAGAACGACCCGAGTCGGGTAACTCGGTTACCACATGCCCAAAAATACTACAAACAATACCAAAGAATATTGTTACATTTAAAATAACTATGAAGAAGAATTCTATTAATTTTCAAATTCAACATCTCATAAAAATAATATAATACACATTTACATTCTATGAAACAATATTTAAAACCCACCGTTCAACATGCATAAAATGTACAATTACCTAACATGAATCATTTTAACTTTCTAAAATCAGTACACAATTTGCTCGGTATGTACTAATAGTCTAATAGTTAAGAGTTAATATTTGCTATGACATCTATTGGTTGGAAAGAATTCCATTTTGTATGAAATTCGAAATGAAAAAACATATTCTGAAAATCAAATCTGGTTTAGAGATCGATTTCTTAATGGCCTTAAATTATGCAAATATATTGTTTCAGTTTTTAGGATTTTTTTTTATGATCTCAGTCTTTGCATTATATGAAATCTATACTTATATAAAAACTCATCCTATTTACTAGAAATAGTAGACAGAAAAGTCAAAAATAATTAATGCTTGATGGAATATAGGCTTGACATTAAAGATTTGTTATGGGATAAAAATCAGAACCGATTTTTTTATCTTTGCTAGAAAAGTCAAAGGTAAGTATAGATTTGTTTTATCCCATAGCATCGGTTTAGTTAAGAAACTCCCATCAAATCAGTTTTATATGTCAAGCCTATGAATAAAGATTTAATCGGTCAAAATTAAATCCTTATTTTACGTTACCCATAAATAAAGTAGATGTCAAGCCTAAATTGAAGGGTTTAATTATCTATATAGTCATTGATTTACGTAAATACATCTAATGTTTAAAGTTTGTGTAGATTGAAAATTCCTTCTTATCTTTTTACAAAAAAATCTTATTATTATTGTATCGAAAATCAAACTCATAATGTTGTGTACAAGGTGATCTTTAATAATATATGATTTTTTGTTTGTCGAATACTATCTTATTGTATAATTTTCCTGCGTATTATAAAACTTTTATTGAATATTGCATCTTATAATATAGTATTCCTCAAATAAATGTATCCCGTGTCTCGCACGGATCACGTACTATATATATCCCGTACATTTTTCTGTATTCATGTATATAATTATAAGTCTGAATAAATAGCCTTAAAATTGTGCACCCCGTGCATCGCACGGGCTCTGTACTAGTACAAAATAAGACGAACAAGAAACAAACAAACAATTGTAATAGTAAAAAATGAATAAAAACGAAACAAATTAATGAAAATAAACTATAATCTCCATTTTACTGGAGCAACACATTAACTTGAGCTATGGAAAAGATAGTTCTGTAGTGTAGAATATGTTATTTCTCTTCATGATATACAAGTCCCAAATCACCACTGCCATTAATATGTTTAGAAAATAACTATCCAATAGAGTTCTACATACAACTTAAACAAGTGAAGAATTTGAGCTGAAAAACCAATGGCAGCACGCATTCGGTTCTCGCAAGGAATGAGTTTCTATCCTTTTTCGGTAAAATCTACAAATGCGAGTTATAAATGTGACAATTGTGTGCAGGGAACACTGAGACTACAAGCTTAGGAACACCAGTTTGGAATATTGGCAGTGGCCTCATTCACCATCTTCACCAATGTAACCTGTAATGTCCAAAAATCTCTGTGTAAAATTTATGAGACTCAAAAACCACCATCTCTTATTTTCAACAGAGTTGTACAAAATCACAGTGGAACACAACAATCATTAAACTACTTAGATGCAATCATTGGTAGTTTTGTGTTCCTTTTGGTAAATATGCACTGATTCCGAAGACCGTTCTCCCAAACACACCAGCAAAGAAGCTGTCAGGTTTTGTGTCTGCTTTTGTTTCTTCAGAGGGACGTCCGGGTAGACTTGAAATTCCAACATTCTCAGATATTATGAAATTCCAACATTCTAATATTACCTTCAGCCCTGACGACAAAACTTTACCCTTTATTGAATTCGAAGGATAGAGTACAACCTGTTTGCTTCGGGAAGATTCACCAGCCTTATTAGAAGATGATGGTGGCTCAGGTAAAGCACCTGGGGGCAAAGAAACTGCCTGTGAAGCACAAAGAAGTGAAATGGATGACTGGCTAACTATATAAATAGATAAGCAGGCAAACTACACAGTGATGAATATCGGAGGAACCAAAGAAGAACATGCAAGTAGGTAACACATACAAAATCTGAAAATCATAATTCATGATAGTACACGAATGCGGAGGATGAACATAATAGTTAAACTAATTTATCCTAATTAAAAAGCTTGCCTTTAATTTTGAATTAGAGTTTACATAAAACCAATCTGGCATACACTTTTTTTCTAGATTATGCAATTCAAATCGGTTTTGTTCAAGTAAAGAAATGTTTTAAATTTGACAAGAAGAATTATCTTGCAAAACAAAGCATCTAAAGTTAGGCAATTAGCCGATGCAACAGATTTGGAAATTAGATTTAAAATTAAAAGAATTTAGTAATCAAATAGATTCACAAACAATCTCATTGGTGGTAAATTAAAAATCACTCCAGAACAAAGATGTAATATTTGTTCCCAATATAAATATCTCCAAAACAACTTCATGCTCTTCATTCTTACAATTATAGCCATCTAAAAGCAGTGAAAATGACTGTGATTCCCAATTCCATTAAATAACCCAAGAAAGAAAGCACCTTAATCACTCGTTTAATTAGATCCCTCGTCAGGTTTTAAATCTCTGCACAAGTGGCCTCGCCAAATAGCGGTTGAAATCCAATCTTAGTTTATTTAAAGACGCGAGAATATCTAAAAGCTTCAATAGTTTGACTCTCATCAAATTTGGTGAGGACCTCAGAGAACAAAACAAAACAAAACCCATAGAAAAACACACAAGTTCCCAACAGATAACTAAAACGATCTTACAGTCACTTACATGGCAATGCACGACAATTACACAGTGAAAGAGACCTGGCAATCGGCACAACAATCGAAATAATTTCCACAATTTAAAAAATTAATTGGACTCAAAATACACATTTTTACTTAAAACAAAACCCTAAAAAATCGCCTAAAAACAAAAAAATCGACCGAGAAGGAGAGCACTATGTGGTTTGATAAAATCGCCTAAAAACCCAAAACAAAAGGAACCTCACCTTAAATCGCCGGAGGAGGAGAGCACTCGAATCGTCGGAATTTAGGCGTGCATAGCCGGAGGAGGACAAGCAATCGATGAAAGAAGGCACTAGATTTCAAATTTTCGCAGAAGTCACCGGAGCTCTGCAATTTTTTCCAAATTTTCGCAGAATGAAAATAGAGGCAGGTCGGGCGGGTTNAAAAAAATTAAAAAAAATATGCCCAAGGGCAATTAGGTACTTTTACAAGCCAAAATGGCTATATTTCATTCTTTTTAAAAAGGTGGCTAGATTTCATTTTTTCTTTTGTTGAAGTGCTATAAATCACCATTATCACTTAATAATATTCATCGTATAATTATTTGTAAGATAAGAATGCATAAGTGCAATGTTTTTTTTTAAAAAATTATGCAATAACCAATTGTAATATAAATTAAAAAAATCAACCAAAGTTAGAGTATTAACGGCAGTAGATGTGGATTGAAATTGATTTTTTTAAATTAAATCGTGTGAATTAAAAAAAGGAATCGGATTAATTTTTAAAGCAAGGTGTAAACCAACAACTGAAGAAAATATTTGTAAAAATATCTCATATCAAATATGGTAAAAACTAAATCTAACGTGTGAATATTAAATATGATAAACACTAAGTTTGTGCAATTAAATAGACGAATAAATATATTGTTAAGAAATTTATGTTAGTTTATCATTTATAACTAGTACAGAGCCCGTGCGATGCACGGGGTGTACAATTTTAAGGCTATTTATCCAAGCTTATAATTATATACATGAATAAAGAAAAATGTACGGGATATATATAGTACGTGAGCCGTGCGAAGCACGATATATATTTATTTTGAGAATATTATATTATAAGATGCAATATTCAATAAAAATTTATAATACGCAAGAAAATTGTACAATGTTCAATAAAAGTTTTATAATATTCAAGTGGAGTCTTAAAGTCTCTTGTACATTAAAACTACTGAAAAAATAATATTTTAATCAATGAGTTTCCTTTCCTTGTAGTAAAATTGTGAATGTGATTTGAGGAGTACAAATCAATATATAGCTGTCTTGCTTTTTTCATTGTAGTTTTTTTTTCTTTTTTTTTATAATGAATTTAAAGATATTCTAAATTATAGCAAAAATTAATTTTTTTATTACAATTAGGAATTTTACTAAATATAAACTCTCAATCTATGGTGTTAATCAACGTTTAAGTCTAAAAAATTAGGAATTTTTACCTCTTTTAATCAACGTTTAAGTCTAAAAAACAATAGAGTTATTATACATTTTTTTCTACATCTTTTAAAACATCAAATATGAGCATGTTAGGACTAGCTTGTAAAATAATTAATATATTATCTCACTAAAACATTTATAATAATAAAAATTTAATTTTAGCATATAAATTTATCCCTTGATATAAGAGAAAGTAACAGTTTTACTTATTGTTGTTCACCATATAATATTTAATTATTATTTTATTATATAATAAAAAAGAAATATTGTTAAATAGTGTAGTGAATTGTTATAAAATTATATGATTTTTTTTTACAATATGAATTTAATTTTTTATGATTTGATAATATAAACAAATCTATACTTAACTTTGACAAATAAAACAAATAAATACTTTAGTAAGTATTTAATGTATATACTAAATAGGAATATATTTGGTATAATCAAATAACAAATATAATCAAATAAGTCAAAGTGTACATTTTTATTTGGTATTTGATTTTTTTATTATTAAAATCTTTTTATTATACTTACCTTTTTAAAATAAAACAAATAAATAAATCAATTAAATAAATAAAATATTATAATACCAAAATAGTAATGGCATTTAATGCAGTTGACTTTTCTGAAACACATTACAAGCAGGAGAACTAAACGCAGACTACATCTCAGTGAATATGAATCTTATTTTCACAGTTAAGACTTAACCTGCTCGTATAAATGAGGCATATTCATCTTTAAAACTGAATGTACTTATTCTTAACGTTGAGCACCAAATATTACTTTTCACTCCATTTTATTGGAAAAAACTTTTATATTTTAATAGGTTGTAAAAGCTTTTAGAAACTTTTATATTTTATATTTTTAATGTTAAAGGCAAAAGCAGGCAACAAAAAACTAACTATTAGCATACAATCACTAATTTCATATAAGAGAGAAATCACTAATTTGCACCAACAATTATGGTGAGTTTGCCGAGTGGAAGAGCCATGGCCACTGGTAAACAAAATAGGTAACTCTTAACAAAAATTACACATAAAAAACCGACAGTTACTTATATTCAACATGAGCAAAAACGAAAAAGACCCGATTAGACAAAAAGGAGATTCGTAGACTTCTAGATCATGTTCAACTTCTTGAAGGAAAATAATAATAATAGAGGAAATACAAAAAATCGAGAAACGCCGGCATATAGGTGAAACACAACTTAGGCACCGGAAAAGTGAAAGCCCACAAAATGCAGAGAATGGCTATAGAATAACCGAAAATGCCCCACGAATTGAGAGTGGAGCTCAATGTAAAAATTGCCGTGTTTGCTTATCGCCCAAGACAGACAACGCAGTGACCGAATTCAGAATTACAAGTTCTAAAAATATTTTGTCCACTCGGCCTTTACTGAAGCAAGTTCTTTTCCTATATCCCCTTATTTTATCTTATTCAAATTGAAGGAATCCACACGGATTTTTTTCATTGTACTATTTCTGCGGAAGCTGATTTACTTTCTTAAGCTTTATCAGATTAAAACTTGTAACATAAATAATAGCATACAGAGAAATAGACTTACCGGAGGTGGTGGCAAGAGGGTGTGGCAGCAGTCAGGTGGCGACTTAACGGATAAGAAGAGCAATACGATGCGAGGAAACAGACGTAGAATTAGTAAATTTTACTCAAGCAAGAAAAATACGATAGCGGCCGGCAACACACGCGGAGGAGGATGTTAACGCGGCTGTCGTTCATGGCCCTCTTCCCGGAAATTGATTCGTCCGGTCCAGTTTCCGCAGAATTTTCGCCGTCTGGAACCTCCCTCTCAAACACCCCCAACTCTCTCTTATATGGTGGCGTGGTAGGGTTTGAACCAAATGGCCAACTTTTGGGCCATTGCCGTTGGGATTTCCCTTCTTTGGGCCAGATGCACTTATATGGGCCGCATGGGCCTCTTTCCTATTGGCCTTTTGATTTTTCAGCCAACCGACTCGGCTCGTTACTCCCTCGGCCCAACCTACCTCTCCAGTCCACTACCACCCAAGCCATCCTTCAGCCGCTTTGCCATCCCATTAGCTCAAGCCTGGGGCCAATACATAATTGAATAACTAGTTTTAGAAATAAAATATAATATTTTTCTTATGAATTTCAATACAGATAAATAACAAAATAAATAGTTTATAAGAAAAGTCTTAATATGATTAATTTACATAAATAAATACTGTAAAATCTTTATTGAAATAAAAATATTTATTGAGAAACTAAGAAAAAATAAATATTTTTTTTTAAGTATTGCAGCTCAAAGTTAATATTATTGGCTTGTTCTGATAATTGGCTAATTCGATTCTACTCGTATGGCTTGTTATCACATGAGTTTTTCATCATTGGATTGCACACTTGTACACAAGCATACCTGGGCATGCATTGATAAAAATGACCACTGGAGATGTATGAATCACAGTTTAACATACATTACTAAAAAGTTATAATACATTATTATTTTAATTCAAAATTATAATATTAATAAAATAATATACAATTTATACATTATTGAAAATATTCTCATAAAAGCATTTTTCATTTGATTATTTGTACTATATTTTATTTATTGTAAAAAAATATACATAATATTAAAATTTATATATAATTTCAATGCTCGATTTGGTCCGGCCTAATTGACTCATAATATAGTCATTGGTATAATTTATTGCAGTTTATTGCCCAGATTAACATACATGTAATGCCGAATGAAACCCCCGAGAAAAAAGAAAGGAAGAAGAAGCACAAGGAATTACAGCCTCTGAAATTTATAAGGGAAAGCAAGTTGCATAAAAATTTGATAATTTAAAACACGATACTCTATAAACATTGATAAAATGATTGAAAAAATATACCTTGCTCAGCAACTTCAGCCTGATTTTGACAGAAGGACTTCGAAGACTGTTGAAATTTCGAATCGATTGGCAAAGTTGAAGTTTTCACAACATTATAGCCATTTGACTTCCCAGAGCCACCCGGGCCCGTCATGGTCTTAAAAGATCCAGATCTAGCTACTGACCCGTCGAAACATTACCAGAATATGTTGAATCGTAAAATATAATATGAGAATGCATCCGATCCAAAAGATTCAGGCTGGGGAAGGTATTCTGTTGCAGAGTGAATTACCATCAGACTGAATGCCCTGGTAAATCAGCATAAAGCAATCAAGTAAGGAGTTAATTGGAAGATAAACAGAACTATTAAATTAAATTTACTTCATGTATATATTATATATTATAATTAAAATAAGTCTGTATGTAACAAGTTATACAAGAAACAACATGCCATGTAAGAACCACCTAATTTAATATAATCATCTAAAAATGTTCTTAGGCAGTTTGGCCAGCATAAATCCATGTTAGAATACCCCGGAACCCTGGACCCCGGAACCCTTCAACCCAGAACCCAGAACCCTGAACCAACCCTGCCTTGAACCTTAACCCATAACAATGAACCCTAACCCCTAATTTTATAAGACTATGGTACACGACAATTTTATAAGTACATACAAATAATTTGTATGCAAATATCATATGATCTTATATATTTATAATATTTTATAAACTTATAAATAATAAAATTTATATATTAAATAGTCAAAAACAACAAAAAATATATATAAAAATAGAAATTAACAATAATAGTAAATAAATAAATGTCATATTATTATTGAATAGAATGTTGTGGAGAATATAATTTCATAGTCTTAAATAATTTTATAATATTTAAATAAAAAATATTTTTTGTATTGCATCCCGTGCATCGCACTGGTATCAACACTAGTAAAAAGTATATAAATTTACTACACAACTCAACAAAACAATCGCATGAATACTTAGCAATGAGACAATTTAACTGTCTCAAATTAAACACACATACAACTTTCTCTTTCTTTTTCAACAACCTCAACCACATTGTTAAAGGGATTTAAACTAACAAGAGGCTCAAATTAAACACGCATACTTCAATTTTCTCTTTCTTTTTCTACAACCTCAACCACATTGTTAAAGGCATTTAAACTAACAAGAGGCTCTGAAAAATAACTACATTCAGCAGGTGAAAGGTCAAAGAACTCCAACAGCATACACCAAAAATAATGAAGCCAAAAATTATAACACAACATGCTATAAATTTCATTTCATTTTTCACCCCATTTTCGTAACTTCAAAAATAAATTAGAGGCCCTAAAACTGAGCATTTAAACTATGAAACTAAAGTATTTTGACAGCATAAAATGCATAAATAAGCTACAGAGATTTATGGTACAAACACATGAACATATATTTACATATAATTTTTCTTTTCCTTCTTTTCATCATTCTCATAACACACATGAAGAACATATGAACTGAGGTTAAACCTCTGGAACCTAGTCAACTTTCAGCAATATAAACATGCCGCACAGCAAGGTCATAACAAAAACAACTAACATGAGGCCAAAACAAGCACTTCACTTATCTCTTTCTCTCAATAACATTCATACATGCTAAGGGCTTTATAAAACAAGATTAAAGCTGTAAAAAAACGTCAATTTCAGCAAGATAATAACACATTAAGCTCAGCATATAAAGGGCAACAACAATGGGTATATTCAACATACAAAATCGGCCAAGAGAAAGCCATGAGGTTCAGCCAATTTACCTCTCGTTTCTGGGAAAAACGGGCCCGGTTCGCTACAGCCTGGACACCCACAAGTCCTCCAAAGCAGCTCGACTGCCACTGCTCACGCTCCCGGTCGCCGCTCGGAACAAAGGCGCCTCAGACACGAAAAGCCCACTCTCGGATGGTGCTCAATCACCAGAAAAAGGCCCTCAGCCTGGGCACTGTCCAAACGGCGGCTGGTCAAACACCCAGTCACTGCTCGTTCACATTAAATACCTCGAAAAACAACTCAGCCCGCCGCTGCTCTCGATGGTCCCTCTGTGACGGAGCGGAAGTCGGTGGGCTGCTCACGCGAACAGAGGTTAATTGGTCTGGTCGGACGTGGTCGGGGTTTGCTAGTGGTTCGACAACAATGGTTGACCGTCGGGGCGCGGCTGTTCACGACGGTAGCTCTCCCTGGACGGCTCGCGAGAGGTTTGCGCGTCTCCCGACAGAAATTGGCTGCCCTCGGCGTCGGTCGAACGTGGCAGCGGCCCCACTTCGCTGGTCTCCGACAGCGTCGCCGGCGTGGCATACGCGGCCGCTGCTCGTGGTCAGGGACGGCAGGGTTCTCGGTTGCTTGAGGAGGCGTCGTCGGAATCGCACAGCAGCACAAGGTGGTATATCAAACCTACGAGTTAGGCTCTGAAAATTTTACATAAAATTCACCTTCCAGTATTTAGCAAAAACACCAAGTTTCAGCCTCAAACTTGTTACACACAATTTTATGAAATTCAAACAAGTTTTTCGATAAAAACGAATCTAAATTAGAAACACATGATAATGAACGATTCAGGCCATGAAATTTTTAAATAAGAAACATCAGCATGTGAACTGCAATACAGAAAAATATCAGCCTTTAACACTCAGTATATGGATTTATAAAATTAAAACAACATTCAGCCAATTATCGAATTTATATCAGAACTGAACCTAACTGAACTCCAAAAATTCCAAAACTTTTACAGCATTCTAAACATCAAATAATCAGCATCTCAACCAAAATTCAGAATTTTTCAGCTTCTGCCAATTTGTCACAATTAAAACAAATTCGGGCAAAAACACCAATTAAATTATTAACCCTACCAAACCTAGCCCAAAAATTCTAAAACTTTTATACAACACATAAATATACCAGAGACATATCATACTCGAAAATCAGCCAAATTGGAGCACCACAAAATTATTTATGCATAAGAACCCTAGTCTAAGTGTCCCGTATGTTGGTGCCTTTGAGGAATGCATAAACAGTGAGAGGTCATCGGCCCGTAGATTCGGGGAGGTGATGCCCAGGTCCGTATGATATTCGTGAATGGGAAAAACATCTCTACTGTCTCCTGGAAAGGATCCCAGGCCCGTAGCCATTCGGTGATAGGAAGGTTTCCAGTTACTTCCTTGCCGTGTGTGATCGAAAGGTTGTTGTATGTACATAGGAGGTTGCTGATTATTCGCTCGAATTACTCGTGAACATCTTAGTTTGCTCGCGAAAATGCAGCATTGGGGCGAGTACTATCCGACAAGTACCTCAAGCCTCCAATTATTCAACATACTTTTTCCCGAGAAACTAATAACTCTCGAATTATTAGCTAAGTGTAGAGTCTATTATACATTCACTTTAGCTTAAGGTTTTAGCGAACACATCTATCCTCTTCAACATACATTTGACATGATGAGATTGTGTCAAACAATTACTTCCGATGTATTAGAAACTTAATCTCCAAAATTATATCGGAATTTCACAAACTTTAAAAGTCAAATTTTATCTTCTTGGTATTCATGAACACATCATGATTATATTCCAAGATTATCATATTGTCTACATAAGACTTACGATCACAAAGAGTCGGAACAACCTTCATAGATTCATTTTGTTATTCAATGAATTTCAACAAATTTTTCATGCCATTATTTAGGTATTTCTACCTTGGACCGAACACCCCCACATTTAGGTATAGGCACGAATGTTTTTGCTCTTTTTATAACTCAAACGGAGTTTCGTATCTACCTATGTGTGGTGCTTTCCATGCCCGAACAAACCCCCACATTTCAAGGTATAAGTACGAATGTTTTTGCTCTTTTTATGACGCAAAAGGAGTTTCGTATCTACCTTTGTGTGGTGTTTGCAATTTTGTCGAAATAACTAATTCTCACATAAGCATTTAGCTTAAATTCAAGCTTACCAACAAGAATTATCACCTACTAAAGAGTGAATATTTCTTTCGACTATTTCATTGAATATCAACATCATTCATATATGGCTTAAAGCTACAAAAGCTTTATGACAATACATTGTGCATTCTTATTTTCGACTCGAGTTTGCACAAACTCTTAAATCACATTTACCGTTGTGACTTATCTCGAGAGGACTAGTCAACTAAGCAACCATTT